CACATAACAACAACAATATGGATATATATCCTTGAAAAAGTTTTTTCTTGAAACAATTTTTAAATAAATTTTACTGACTGTCCACTTTTAATAATAAGCAAATACATTTACATACACTTTTGTTAAGTATCTTTGTTAAGAGCTGAACAGCAGATCTGCACTTTGCCCTCTCCTGTGCCATCTTCATCATCTCTGCTATCCTTGAGTCCAGTGATACAGTCACTATGTCAATCCATCTTGTTGAGAATTTTTCTCTCTTTGGCTGACCCTCCATCTTTCCTAGTATGATGTCTTTCCCCCTCTTGACAACATACCCAAAGTATGCGAGATGGTACTTTGCCATTCTTGCCTCTGAGGAGCACTCTGGTTGCACCTTCACCAAGACATAATTATTTTTTTGGCAGTCCACAGGTTATTCTGTTCTCTTCTAGAACACCACAACTCAATGGCATCCGTTGATCTGTCATTGCCTTCCATTCACTGTCCAACTTGTAGATGCATAGCAAGTAACTGAGAAGATAAGAGTACATCCTTGCTCTTTAGCATTTTGGAGAGGTCCTTGAGAGCAGATCTTCCCAATGCAATATATCTTCTGATATCTCGACTGCTGTAACTAAGGTGTTGACTGTGGATCCAAGTAAAATGAAACTGTTGACAAGCTGAATCTTTTCTTCAACTATCATGACATTAACTATTGGTCAAGTGGTGAGGATTTTTGTTTCCTTGACAAAGAAATTCTTTGTTTCCTTCTTGAGGTGCAATCTATATTGAAGGCTGTAGTCTCTGATCTTCTGCAGCAACTGTTACAAGTCCTCTTCATTTTCAGCAAACTAGGTTGTATCATCTGCATAATTTAGTTGTTGAAGAGTCTTTTGGCAATCTTGATGCCACATTCTTCTTCATATAATCCAGCTTCTCAAATTATTTGCTCTACATACAGACTGAGTAAGTATGGAGAAAGAACACAGTTCTCAAACACATCTTCCTTGAATTTAAACCATTCAGTATTTTCTTTCTCTGTTGCTTCTTGGTCTAGGTATGGGTTTCACAAAACACAATTAAGTAAGGTGGCAGCGTGTACCAAAACTAGGACAGAAGCTTCCCAGGAAATGTGAAGCTGAAAATGTTGTTTAGTAAAGTATGTCCAGTGGGTAACAAAAATTTGAAATATAACTGACTTAATTATGCTTACCTACTGTGTAGAAAAGCGGCCTATGGTGACAGAGTGAATTAAGAGCTGGGCTGTTATCTAAAAGGTCAGTAGTTCAAACCCAGCAGCTACTTTGAGGGGAAAAGATGAGGCAGTTGGCTTCACTATAGACTAACAAGGGCAATTCCAGAGTATATGGTTGTTATGAGTCAAAATTGACTTGACAGTAGTGGAGAAAGTAAAAAAAATCAAAGACTTTAACCTTTTCATTTCTAGTTTAGGGCTTATTCCACTTTGAGAAGACCACAAACAATAAGTAATCAACAACAACAACAACAATATAGTTCTTTTACATAAGATAGTTATTCTACACACATACATATATCCAAAAATATATGTCTCACACACATGTTTAGATAATCTTCCTATAATATATAACACTAGTTATTCTTTCTTGACAATACCAGGTATACTTTTGAACTTCACAGGCTAAAAGTGACAGAAACATATATACAATAGTAGGATCCAAAATACAATCAGATATAAAAGCATAAAATATAGTTATATTTATCTTTTGAATTTGTTTCCTCTTTATAAGTGAAGGTACTTAATATCTCTTCATAGAGTTATTATAAAGAACAAACTTAAATAAGTTCAAGGATGGTGACTTAAGGATACTGTAAGATATTGGTATTTTCTCCACTATTATACAGATTCGGTTCTTATTAATGCATTTCTGTGTAAAGGTAATCTCTTGCAGTATCATAATTTTTTCTTTCTTTTTTTTTCTATAATTATATTTTATTAATTTTCATAAACATTTACA